CAAATTGTATGTGAAATGTACGTGAAAACATCGAAAAAATTAAGCCCACCCTCATAAAACGTCGATTTGAGTAATTATTTAACATTGAAAAAAAAAAAAATATATTCTTCAGATCGAGCTTGGTCGAGATTTTTTTTTATTATTTTCGCATTTAAATGTTTGCTCATTGCTAAATTTACCAAAATATAGTTATATGTGAGGAAATATTGCTTGAAAATCGAAGATTGTAAAAACAAGCAAACTAATTGTAACATGGCGGTGGCATAAAAGTTGATTTTCATGGGTCATTTGTGAAAAAGTTGTTTTGCTTTCAAGAATTCCTTAACAAATTAATAAGGTTTTAAAATGGCTTTTATGAAGAAAATTGCAGGCTGAATTGTATTTATCTAAAGCCATTTTGCTTGATCCTAACCCGTTCAGATTTATGGCAGCATTTATGGAGGCCAAGTTGCCTGCAAAAAGTTAAACGTCAAAGTTTGTTTATCTTTCGATAGTTGCGCTGTGAGATCCAGGATTCTTCCAGGCGATTTTCTCCCGATGGATTGGGAGCAGTTACTCAAATAGTTTGCGATACTGTTTTACAACATTTCGCATTTCAAACAGCTGGAAGCGCAATCGTTCCCGAAAAATATCCCCTTCTTCCGGATGGTTACAGAAGTGCACCATCCAATGATGCAGAGATGTACGGTTGAATGAAATTTTCGAAGAGTCTTTCGCCGAATAAAATCGCTGCTTTGGATCGGAAACCAGCTAATCTCCGCTAACTAACAGTTTCAGCGGTTTGCTGTCGGTTGTTATTTCGATTGTCATCGCAAGATCTGGAGAAGGCTGGTATGTTTTTCAACTTTAGACAATGTTTTATGAGTTCGAGGGCCCCGCTCACTTTGGTCAGTCGTTGGTTATGTGCTGGTTCTTCTAAAGAAGTGAATTTATCTTAAATCGACTTGATTTTTTCATCCTACTTCGTCTATCCTTCGAGATTTCCTTGTCATAAATTTGGCATTTATTAACTATGAGGAACCATCTTTTAACCTCAATTTGTAAACAAAGTAATTGGGGAGTTAATGATGCACTCTAAAAGGCTAAAAAGCAACGATAAATGTTTTTTTCTCTAATGCAAAACCTAATTGTTTTATGGTTGCTTTTTTAATGATAGAACACATTTATAAAGAATTTTATCATGACATTAATAAAAAATTGCTAATGACGTTTATGCTTGAATTACAGATCAGTTTTAAGGAGGGATTGATAACTGTTTTAAATTTATTTTTAAAACAAGACAGTTTTTGACTTTCCTGCCAGACTATAAAAGGTTTTTAAAACAGCAAAAAGCTGAATTACTAAGCAGGAATGTTTTACACTTTAAAATGCTATATTTAAACTAAATTGATTGTTCATTGCCGTTATAAAACCATCATAAATCAGAGTGGATGCTAAATGGTTACTGAATTGTTACTTGGGCTACGTCAAAGCCGACTACAAGCAGCTTCCGGGACAGGAGTTTTATACGGCAAAAGGAAGGGGAAAGGTAGCAGATGTTTTCAAGCACATGAAACTGTCAAAGTTCGCAAAGAAATATCTGGTTTGGCAAGCCATCTGTACCTGTGGCTTGAAAAGCAGCATTTTCATAGCTTCCGGGACTGTCAACCAAGAAATTTACGTGAAAGAGTGTTTGAATAAACGTCTGCTGCCTTTCCTGAAGAAACACGGTTGTTCCGTACTGTTTTGGCCGGATTTGGCATCTTGCCATTACGGTAAAAAGGCCATGGAGTGGTACGCCGCCAACAACGTGCAGGTGGTTCCCAAGGACAAGAACCCTCCCAACACGCCAGAGCTCCGCCCAATTGAGAAATACTGGGCTATTGTCAAGCGGAACCTAAAGAAGACCAAAAAAACTGCTAAGGGCGAGCAGCAGTTCAAGGCAAACTGGCTTTCTGCGGCGAAGAAGGTGGACAAGGTGGCTGTACAAAATCTGATGGCAGGGGTCAAGCGTAAGGCCCGGCAATTCGGATTTGGAAAAGCGGAAGCCTAACTGAATATTTTTCCTGAATTTTATACTAATTGAACTTGAAAAAGAAATTTAATTTGATTTTTTAAATAAACGATTTCACCGATTTACACGCGTTTTCCCTTGACCAAATTTTGACCGTATCACCCTTTATACCGTCGATTTTGGAAATTTGAGAGCCTTTCCAATCATTCCTCCTGACCACGTTGGATTTTGCCCGTGAGTGTGCAGATTTTTTTCACGTCTGTCACGTTCCATCTTCGATAACTTTTGAACAAGTATATGAATCCTGATGAAATTTTCACTACTAAATAAACAATCCTTCCGGATCAAAACGCTGTCAATAGTTTCTTGCTACGACAAGGCGCCACAGTAATTAAAAAGAAGCGGCCAAATACTAACTAGAACAGACTTTAGAGTCGGATCCTTGCGATAAATGCAAGAATGACAACTGTAAAATAATCGAATACTTCATCATTTCTCAATAGTGACGGAGTAATACGACATGCACTAAACTAAGGACACGGGATATACTACAATAGATCAAATTGCTGGTCGCAGTGGTGTTAGGTCCCAAACAGAGGAAATATCTGCATTACGTCTGATAGTCAAGCAGCATTAAATGCTATAAAATCAGCAACATGCAATTCAAAACTCGTATGGGAATGTGCAATATCACTTCAGAAATTGACCTGTCGAAACCAAGTGAACATATATTGGGTTCCTGGCCACTGTGGAATTGAAGGGAATGAGAAAGCCGACACGTTAGCTAGGCTAAGATCATCTCAGCAATTCATAGAACCAGAACCATTCTGTGGAGTTTCTGCTTGTTCTCTTAAAATTGAGGTTAAGCAATGGGAAAACATTAAAGTGGAGACAAACTGGAACAACACTTTCATGCTAGGCAGTCGAAACGGTTTATAATTCCGAACATGTCAATGAATATCAGAATTTTTGCAAGGACTGTTCATTAAAGAAAGTGGACACCTGTTTATCAATGGTTTAAGGTTAAAACGTAACGAAAAAATGTGAATTTTCGCTCATTGTGTAACAGCATTGTTTATTTTGGCAACACACCTGAAAAAAATGAGAAATGGGTCGGATCAGCTTATCAACGCGCAGATTAATTCTACACAAATGGTTTTCGGAAAAGTTGTCGTTTCGAGAATTGGCAAAAAGCGTGAAGTGCAGTAAATCTACAGTGTTCAAGATTGTTAAGAAGTTTGGTGAAACGTGTTATCTTGACGATTTACCGAAATCTGGGCGCAAAAAGGGGGCATCGGACCAGAAACGGAGCTAGCAGCAGAACGCCTTTTGAAATCACATAAACCGTGTTCCGTTCGTGAAATTGCCAAAAAATTGGAAATTGGAAAACGCAACAGTATCAGAGCCTACAAGAAGCAAAAAGCACCCAAAAGGACGGATTCACAGAAAGCTTCTTCGAAAATACGGCCACGGAACTTGTATGACGTTCTCCTTCAAAAGCCGAACCGGTGCATTTTGATTGACGACGAGACGTACGTCAAATTGGATACCACCAGTTATACCCGGGCCGCAATTTTTCAATTTTTTGAGCAGAGGACAGATGTGCCTGATGATGTGCGTATTTCACAACGGGTACAATTAATGGTGAAAATTGCAGAAAATGCATAAAAAATGGCTTCTACCGATCTACCGAAAGCATACGGATCCTTCATTGTTTTTGCCGGATCTGGCATCTGCTCACTATGCTTCTGCTACATTGAAGATGCTCAAGAAGGAAAAAGTCGATTTTGTCGAAAAATTCCAAAATCCCCCTAACTGTCCTGAACTGCGTCCTATCGAAAGATACTGGGCAATAATTAACCGGCATCTTAAGAAAGATGGAGGAGAAGCAAGCTCTGTTGACTGCTTCAAGAAAATTTGGCCTACAACACAACGAAAAGGTAAGAAGAAAGTTGTGCAGATTCTAATGGGCGGTATCACGAGAAAAGTCCAAGCGTTTTTCAGAAATGAGAAGTAAACATTCAAACTCACGTGAAATCGGTCATATGTATGTTGATTTTCATTTATATAAAGTAAACTTATGAATTTGTTCGAAAATAAATATTTTCCATTGAGAAACAGGTGTCTACTTTCATTAATGAACAGTCATTATTATCTAAAAAAGATGTCGATTAGGATATGTGGAGGATATGTGTCGATTCTGTGGCATAGAAAAGCGAGACTCTGAACACCTGCTTTGCTCTCGTACAGCAATCTTCAATAAAAGGCGTATTTTTCTGGATAAAGGGCTGGCAGCCTATAAATTTCATTTGTGCCACTACTAGTGTCGGAATGTATCACAATAATTCAAAGTTATATACTACCTTTATGAGATAGTTTGAACATACTGAGAGGTAAGCACACATCATCGGTAAGAGACGTGAGTGTGAGAAAATTTGCGAAAAAATGGGATTCGAACCCACAAAAAGCAGATGGGACAAACTGACTTGATGTTGTTTTCATATTTTGCATGATCCAAGTCCGTAGTTTTATCACATAATGCCATTTGAAGGGGGATAGCGTTATCTCAAAATTGACAAATAAAACCATATGGGACTGATATGCCAGTATAGGCAGTACCGTTTTTTCTTCTAATCTAAAGAAATACTTTTGTATACCTAATTCATTCTCATTGAATAAGAACAATTGGACTCAATTGAGCAACCAAATAGATCGAACGTTATGAAGCTTCACGATTCCAGTACCACCAAACCTGTAGCTGCAACCGACGAGGCCTTGCTATTTACGACCCACTGGCATCGCGTGCACCACATACAACTTGTGCGACCATTTATTGCATTATGTCATCAAATTTATTGTACATTTCACCCCGCCATCACGGAATTGCCCATCGGTATGCGACGTACTTCGGTACGTTCAATGTCAAGTTCGTTTATGAATATGATCTTTCCGGACGGTATAAACTCAAGATAACAAACAACAGAAAGAAAGAGAAGGTGGTACTCACCAATCCGTCCGCGCCATTCACCTCGATCGCCGTCTTGAGCCGCTGCGTGAGATGTTCGATCAGCGAATCATAGCGACCGTTCAGTGTGTCCAGCCGCTTCGAGTACACCTCGGTGGCACCCGGGTCGGCGTCCGGTGGCCTCAGGTCCTGCCGGGGAGGCGAAAAGCTCGGCCGCATCTCTACCAGCCAGTCGATGTAGTGCAGGCACTTTCCATCGTAGATCTGCAGACCCGTTGTTGTGGTTGTTGTTGTTTCGGGGCGGTTTTTGGGCATTTTGGATTCGGTTTTTTTTTCGGGTGGTTGATGGTTAATTGCGCGGGGGTCAGTTGATTGTTGTTGGCCGTAGAGTTAGGGGTTGATTGGGTTGTTGTTGTTGGTGGTGTTGTTCGAACGGGTTGATTGTTTATTGGTTTTGTTTTGAGTGCGCGTGTGTTTTTTATGTTTTGAGGCAAATGTGTAGGTGTGAGTGTGAATATGAGTTATTACATCAATTAGTATTCATTTCTAAGATATGAGCTTGTACTAAACGTTGTAAATTAGGGTTTAAATGTAAGGTCGATTGTAAAGTGCGATTTTTAATTATTAATTTGTGGACCACCGACGGACATTAAAGTTTTTGTTTGCACTGACATTTTTGCTCCATTAGTTCACGAATTAAAGGGTGCTACCGAATTTGATAAGCTATGTTTTGTTCTCTTTGAGGTGCATTCCAGCGCCAGCAGCTGTCCGCGGTAATTGCATGAAGCTAAATTTCAAAAATTTCTTTCTCCAAAACCAAAAAAAAAATAATAATCACACTTTAAGCCGAAACAAGATATTTACCATCGCCCAGCTGCTTTGCCTAGGCGCCTGATTTTAATCACAATTCTACTCCAATAGTAAGCGACAAATTAATAACTAAAATCCCAGCTTTAGAATCGGCTCACTCGTATTGATTAAAAAAGTAAATTTTGATCAAGCCAATTTGGAATTTGTTGGGAATTCGATCAATTTTGCCACCAGCACCAATTCGATCAATTGTCTTCGGGAAGAAGCGATCTCACAAAGCGATTAAAAAGCGTCAATTCACTTATAAGAAAATGCATCCTTTACCTAACGCTCACAATGGACCTCACACACAGACACGGCACACACTCGTACATAATTTAAAAGTTGATGAACACATAATCAGAGGAAGAGGAACATTCATCAACACACACATACACTCGCTAGCGCATTTACACGCACAAGCAACCGACACAAACATGGACTCCGAAATTCAATTTTTTAACCAATAGCGTCGATTCTTACAATTTTACCCTCGCGAAGGAAAGATGTCGGGCAAAAGGATCGAAAATGGCACCACTGCCAAGCGGATCTAGTGTGCACCTTCAGTCGGGCTCGATGGCTTCGGCAGTGAGCATTAGATCGGCGCTGGCAGCGATGGCGATTTTCTCGTTCCGGACGCTATTCTGCCACACGACGATACGTACCTTAGCTTCTCGGATCAAGCGGCCACCGGTGAGATTGACCTGTTCGATCTTGGGCGCACGCTCCATGGCCTCACCCAGCATGGTCTGGTGTTGGGCGGAATCGAATTATGCGGATATTCAAATGGATGTATTTTTCAAAAGATTCAAGAAACCGAACGGAACGGGACCACGTGTGGGTGTGCGTGGAGACCACATTGGTTGTTGTTGGATATTTATTGGTGGTGGTGGTGGTGGATCGTGTGGTGTATTTGTGTTTTTTTGTGTTGTTTTGTAGATTGATGGACATTTTAAAAATAAGATGCATAGGGGGAGGAAAGAGAATAAATTAAATTGATTAGTACGTTTCCACTGCTAGACTAATCGATTTTGGTAGCGCAATTCTAATCGGTTAATCTGTTTCTACTGACTAAGACAAATCTAAAATGGCGAAATCCTGAACCAAAGTTATTGTTTTTGTTTGTAATCTGTGTTTGTGTGGGTATCTGCGGGCTACTGATGGGAGGGAAGAGTTCTTGCACTAAAAAGGTTCATGCTTGTGGTTTGTCAGTATCTGAGTGTGTCGTGACTAATTGAATCGTGTTCATTGTTCATGTACGATGTTAGTCCAACGTCCGTAGTAAACTGAGAAGTGTCGTGTTCATTACTTTGCGGCAAGTTTAGCCACGGCGGACTGTGTTGTGGTACTGACAAAATCTTCTTTCTTCTAAAAAACAAGTGTTGTTTGTATGTGTTTTAACACTTTTAAAGATTTTAAAATACGGGTTCTCCTATTTGCATACAACTTTATTGGCAATCATACACATTTTTGCAGAAATTTGACGATTTTTGATCTTGATTTTTTTTTTCAAATGTATTTAAATCATTTTAAGTTTTTTGATTTTTTACTCAAAGTAACAAATAAAAAACTACCGTATATATTTTTCCCAGAATGACTTTACTCTTCTTAAAAACTTTGTCTCAGATGTCATTTCGATCAGAAGTGACATTTTCGGGCTACCATTTATAGACAAATGTTAGAGACGCCATTTTGGAAGAAACTACAAGATTCAAAATGGCTGTTTTTTTTTTGCAAAAATGTCAATAATTGTCCATAACAAACAGTTATGTAAAGTTTAAATCGGATAACATCGGGCCAAAATGCAAAAGAACTTAAGAATTCCATAAGAACCACTTATGAAATCGGTATGAATTTTATTAATTTTCCTTATGAAAAATAATGTTGATTAAAAAATAATAAAACTAAGCAGACTGGAACCGAACCATGAACGTTGGGATTACGGAACCTGTGTGTCATCTTTCAACGCTTGGGAAAATGTCGATCGTAGGTCGAGCTTTATGAAATTCTTAAGTTTATTTGCCTCAGTGCACAACGGAGGTCTAAGACAAAACCCCATTGCAACGAAACATGTCCAAGCTGATTCATATAATCTATGTGCATCATTAACGACTTATTAGACGTTCTAGCTTCTTCAAATCTTCCTAAAATATGTTTGGACATCTATCGTTGAGATAATTAAGAGCATATCATTCATATCATTTATAAAAATGAAATGAAGGATCTTGAACTATGTGTATTAATCAGTGTTGGCAAAATCATCAATCAAATTATATTTTTCCACTCTCATACGCTCTCAATATCACGCGTGATATTGGAACAAAATATCATGCTTGATATTGATTTTACAAGCTCCTTTGATATTGCGAGACTATTCACAACGTGCAAAAATCAAGCGGAGAGTTGACTAGATACAAAAATCATTCTGTTGCACATCGCTTTCTTAGAAAGAGAAAATATAGTTTGCTATCTCTTTTTACTGTTCACCGATGGCAGACACGAAGCGACTGCTGTCAGCCATTATGGAAGTTTCGGTTGCGTTCGAGAATAAAGCAAAAATCATTAAACTCAATTTCACCGCAGTTTGTTGAGATTTGCAGCTGGTAAGTTTCGTTAGCTTGATATTCCGAGCTGCGATATTTTTGATATTTTCCCAACACTGGTATTAATTTTATAAATCTAGTGAGGGTAAGGTCTTTGCGCTGGTTGATCTATTGGATATGATCAGATCTGAACTCGAGGAAACTTTATGGTTCTATCGTTCATATCGATATCAAATAAGGCCAGATTAATTCAGTAAGTTAAATGATTTGAACTCGATGATCAATAGATCATCTTATATACAAGAAAGAAGATACATGTACATAGACTTTGTCAATCTACTTGGACATGTATAACTAGTTGTTAAGGACATCGTGTAAGTTTAGCTTTATCTAGTGAATCGAATTATCCGAACTCTAGTATGATTCGATGAACCTAGAACATCTCTTAGACATGTAAATGGAACTTTAATGATGCGCAGAGACTCTTTTAATTAGCTTAGGCATGTGTTGGTACTGGGGATATCTCGCATGCTTTGGTTGATCTAATCGATCCAACGGCGTAGCGAGTAAGCTAAGAACCTTGAGGCAAATATAAAACTGACTTTTCATACAAAATGTGTTAACTTTACTATTTTTTAAATATAATGTGAGAAAATTTGAGCGATTTTTGCTATACCACAAGCACTTTTGAAGAAAATCGGAACATATCAGGATGTAACTTCAGGAATCTTTCGATAGAATTCGGAAGAACCTCGAATTCATAGTTAAACTGGAACTAACCTCTTTGCAAAGGTGCAAGAAAATATTGGAAAAATCAGAAAAAAAAAAAATAATGAGTAGTCGAAAGACATATTCAAAGGAAGTCAGAAAATGGCTGAATATTTTTTCGAAGGAAACCGGAAGAAACTTCCGGAGGTAGTTCTGCTTTTTTTGTGTAGATTCTCAAGGCCCACGCACATAAGATCCGGATCGGACGCGTTGTGGCAAAGTGACAGCTAAATCTTTTGTCTAACTGTCAAATTTACGTCAACGCAACGCAAACGGATCTAATGTGGGTAGTCCTTCAGTCTTTCGAGTGAAAAATCACAAATCACCAATCCCGGTCTCAAATTGCATGCAATTATTTTTTTCAATAACGGAAGAAAGAATCCCCCAACGGATGCTTAAAATAAAAATGATGCGATTCTGCCAGTACCACAACAACCCTCACCGCTAACTTTCCTTCAATGTTAAGTTCAACTTCCGTTCTGCGTACGCAGAACAATCTACCAGAGACGACGAGCAATTTGTTGTTTGTTAATTCTGGTCCCTTCTTCCAATCCATTATTAATATCTGTTGTTGAATGCAGTTAGTCATTTTGTTCTACTACGATTTGTGTGGTTAATTCTGTTTCTGTCACTACTAATGGCTTGCTAAAAACCTATTAAGTTGTTTGAGGAACTGTTGTATTGGGAATCTGTGTGTTCGAGAGAGTACGTGGTTCGGGTCTTGAATAAGGGGCGGGTGCGACCTCTATCAAAATCGAAAAACAGGACAATCCTGCGAGCGTGAGTTCGTGTGCGTCATCTCCATCGTCATCATCATTTCCATCATCAACATCATCATCATCATCATCAATAGTAACAAACGATTGTTCTGAAGTCGACCTACTAAATCTCCTGCGGTAATGCTAACTTCTCAACAAAACAATAAGACCTGAAAGCTGCGACGAGGGGAATCAACCGGAAAGGGGGTACTTACATCCAGTTCTCGGGCGGAGGTGGCCGTTGGCAGCGCTTGTAGCTTCTCGGTCTGCTTCTCGACCCACGTTTCTTCCACTACAATGCTCGTCTGTAGGTTCTTCATCAGTCCGATGGCGGTTTCGACGCTTCTTAGCCTGAATAATGAAAAAACGAATGATTATAAACTCGTGTTGACTCGACTAGCATGATTTTATTACCGTTCAGCCAACTGTCCACAGATTTTGTTCCAACGTGAGTTCAAACGTTCCACGTTCGAGTGGAGCCGTTTAAGGTCACTGAGAACCTTGGTCGGAACGCCCATTCGACCGAGCTGGTCGGCGGCATCGTTCATTTTGTCCATTTCGGGTTGTTGTGCCGAAATTGTTTCCTGGATGGTGCTCAGTTTCTTAAATACTTCATACAGACCTTCCTGCGACGACGGCAGTTCCAGCTGGCGGGACAGTTTGCCCTCCAGATCGGAAATAACTTGCTCGTTGTCCTCCAGACCAGCTAGAGCACCTTCGAGCAGTTTCAAACGATCGCCATGCAGACTGGCTTGAGTGTTGAGTTCTTTCCACAACTCCAGGAGGTTGTCTAGGCTCTTCTTCAGAGCGGGCGTCTTCAGGGTGATAGTACGGAATGTTTCTTGCAGATGTTTCAGGTCCGGTTCTAGCAGACCCAGCCGGCGTTTGTAGTCGTCCAGGATCTGGACCGCATGTTCTAGTGAGTCCAGATCGCGCGGCATCGGCGAGAGGATGATGTGGTCCAACTCGCGCGCCATCTCCTCCAGACGGGTCTTGAGGGAGATACATTGTTCGGTGAAGATTCGGCTTGCTTGTTTGCTTTCCTCTGAAATTTCGGGAAAATGTTCACATTAACACTCAGCTACAGACCGTAACACATTCGGAGAACAACCTCGGAATGATCTAAAGCGGAAAACACCCTTCATGATTCCTCCTCTTCAAATAAATTCACTTTTACACTGACTATTTTGCACTAAAAGGAAACTATTTGCTTCCAAAGTACGGTCCGTTGCGATCAACGATCTAAATGGAACTGATCGTACGATCTGCAAAATCTAGAGCTAAACTTCCCAAACACCCACCCACCTTTCCGAGGAAAACCGTTAAAATTTGTTCATTCCAGATCGTACGGCCTGTTATTCTTGACCTTCCCCCTCATTGAAGTTGACACACACAACGGACAAGTCAACATAAAACACAGAAATGACCACAAATTCCAAAATGGTCACACTACTCAATTAACCAATTAAAATCAACCTATTGTCTGAAGCTCATTTGATCTCTCATTCGAGATCATTTCTCCATCGTGACGGAATCAATCATGTTCCTCCCATTGCTCGAGGTGCCACTTTGAGATTGCGTATTTGGCCAAAAATCATTCCATTCAATCAACGCTGAAGTCGTAAAATGGCCAACAAATTTCGTTTGCAACAAATATGAACTCAAACTCACCTTCAGCTCTGGCACGTTTCTCGAATTCATCAAACAGTCGATTCACCTCGTCCATTTCGCGCCTCAGTCGGCGCAGCTGCGGATCTGCAGGGTCCCCTTCGGCCAGCAGCTTGTCGGCGTCGTCGTTCAACGCACGCCGGATGGCCGTCCGCTGTTCGGCACCCATCGCCAAAAATTGCTCAAAGTCCCAGCCCTTGACCACCTTGATGGTGGCGAAAATCATGTTCTGCCTCAGCCGCAGTTGTTTCTTCTGCCACAGGGCGATCGAACGGTCGAACAATCGCTTCAACCGGTCGGCAGCTTCTATCGATTCCTGATCCGGTGGCGGCAGAAGAAGGCACACACCATGGACGGATCCTTCTGCTCCCTTGGCCGTTTTCACACGCCATTTCACCCTGCCAGAGGTATCCAGCAGGGTGCAGGATTCGTTCTTCTCCAGCGAAATGTTACCCTGTTTGTAGGAGCAAATCGTTTGCACCGTACACTGCCGGTTGACCGGTTGCTTTCGCTGTTTCAAAGGCACTATCGTCGTCGCTTGGTGCTGTAGATGGGCCACCGTTTCGCCGAATGCGTTCAGCTCCTCACGGATGTCCTGCATTCCGCGCAGCAAACCCTCGCCCTGGTCGAGCGAAAACTCCGACTGGGAGTATTTGGTGTTCAGGATTTCGTCCCGTTTGGCAAGCCAGTTTTCCGCCTCGCGGATTTCTTCGAAGAACGAATGATAATCGGTGGCATGCTTGAGGTGTACCTCAAGGCAGAGGGTCAGCTGCAGCAGCCAAGACCACTGCGACTGGAGGGCCTGGAGGTGACCTTCGATACACTTTGAGGCAGGGTGCTGTTGGACTAGAAGTGCCTCTCCGCGATCGAGGATGGTGGCAAAGTGCATCTCGCGTTTCTCCAACTCGGACATTAGGTTCTGTTGGGAGGGATGGAAGAGATGGGGAAGAAGTTTAGTGCTGGTTGTCAACATGATGTGGTGGGAGTTCCCGAACAATCATCACACGAAAATGAAAGCAGGTGATAACAACAGGAACTGAATAAAATGACTATAACTATTACAGCAATTATAATATTAGTTGAGTGTCGGAGTTAAGTGAAGAAATAAACATTCATGGATGGAACAATAGTTAGTCTAAAAAAGGTTCTAAAAGATTCCAAGATCCCATTTCATCTAATTTCGAGAGACAATTATGGGTAATGCATAAAGGAAAAGACGTCATATCAAGAATACTTGGAACTCTACTAGATCCAACGGACAAAGATAGTAACGCTGCACTTGAGCAAATGTAGAACCACCGTATTGAAGAATAATTAGCAAATGCATAAACCTCTCTTAAGAGGTTGGCATCTTCACTATCCCATTTGTTTTGAGCTTTTACTTTTGATCAATAGGCTGCAACAATAGGCCTGTCTCTTACTGTTTGTATAAGAAAGCGTAAGAATGGTCGTTTTTCGTTATTTGTTGTATTTGATAAAAGTCTATCTCTGATACCTGTTTGGACACACAACTTGCAAAAAAAATGGCGTTTGTGACACGGTGGAATACATACGGTCAATGAGATCAACCCAAATTTGAGTTTAGTTTACTCACAAATCGCTAAAAAGGGGCAGGAACTCAGTTATGAGTAAATTTACCTCTTGTTTTTGTAGGTTTACCAGGTTTTTCTAAATTCTGATGAATATTAGTTTTTCCAGGAAAAAAAATCCCGTATACTAGAAAAGTAAAGATTGGATTATCTCAGTCTATTGGTACTATTCCTAAACTGAGTAAAATATTCGTAAATTTTTCACATTTTCCGGCAGATTTTTGAGGATTTCCAGAGGAAAACATGAGGCAAATTTACTCATCGTTGAGTTCATGTACTTTTCGTCATTATGAGTAAGCTGAACTCAAATTTGGGTGGATCTCATTGCCGTGCGTGCGAATAGATTAATATAAAGAATATTACTATGGACATGAAGTTGTTGACTGAAATCTTCTTATGACTGGAGATCTTTTGAATACCAGAATATTTGAGCGACGTCATTTGAATCTTTGATCAGTCAAAGATCTTCAGAATGAACTTCATCAACCTGAAGTCTTCAACAAATATGCAGATAATAGCTTCAGATCTTCATCTTGATCATCCTGAAGTCTTGAAAATCGAACCAGAGAGCTTTATTTAAATTTCCGATCAGCTGGAGATCTTTTAAATAATTCACATGATAATATCTGACCAACTAGTAATATTGAGACAGTATTTGGAGACGTTCTTGAACAGTTGAACATCTTTAGAATAATACTTGATCAACCAAAAGCGTTGAAAAATGAACCATAGGAATTTATTGAAATTTAAGATCAACTGGAGGTGTTTTAAATACTTCCTGACCAAACTGAAACAAATATCTGAAAAACAACATTTGAATTTTCGAACAATTGCAGATCTTCAGAATAATTATAGATCAAAATATCCTGAGGAATTTATTGATATTTTATTAAAAATCAGTGAATATCAATGAAGTTCTCTAAAAGTCTACAAAGATTCCAGTACTTCCTCAAAGTTTCTTGAACTTAAACACAGTTACTGAACTACTATCCAATTCATTGATCTTATCCGCAGTTTCCTGAACTTCTATGATTGTTCCATAGCTTATACTCTTGAACTGAATTTCTACCATTTGTACTTGCATTTTTACGATTTTAAAAGGAAAATCATACAATGTTTCCTGAACATCTACAAAGTTCCCTCATCTTCTACGAAGGTGCCTGAGCATCTTTTAAGTTCTATAATTATGTTACACTTATAATATATCTCTTAACTCGACCAAGATCTCAGAACCTACATGAACTTCTCCAAACTTCCGGGAATACCCTGAACATTTTCTATGAATCATCCTGAATATCTGGGCCAAACGAATATCCCAAGACTTTTAGAAAACTTTCCTCTGAAGTTCTATAAGAAGTTTGTTGAACTTCTACGATATTCCATGAGCTTATATGAAGTTCCCTACACTACTATGAAGTTCGCAGAGCTTACCCTTCTACGAGGTTCCCAGATATTTCAAAAATTTTATTGATTTTTTGCAAAGTTACCTGAAAAATACCACTCAATTTCGTCAAAAGTGTATTTACTCAAAAGTGAGATTAATTTTCCGGGCAAAAGCCACGGAAAACCAGGAAAACCTTCGAGAATAATAGGAAAATCCATAAAAATTTTGATCAGTCTAGGAGTATATTAATAGAATGAGTGAAGCCTCTATCGATTTTTCTCACATTCGAGAAGTTTTACCTGGAAAATCCCGGCAAATTCAACTCACTTTTGAGTAAATCGACTTTTTCCGAAATTGAGTCAACTCGACTGAAATTTGAGTAGGCCTGAGCGACCGTGTACGGAATTCTTTAAACTATACAAAGTAAATGAAACTTTAAAAAAAAACGGTCCCGGAGGTTTAATGAAGTTTTCTGAAAGTAAACAAACCCCAAAGAAGATCAAAAATTCCACTTTCATGAAGTTTTCACGATTTTTTACAAAGCTCTCTGAATTTTTACGAAATTCTTTTTTGACAAACATCAACAAGCACACAACTGCGGTTGATACTGCAAGCTGTGATTTCGCAGCTCGGGATATGAAGCTAACAAAACTCACCAACTGCAAATCTCTCCAAGCTGTGGTGAGATTGAGTTTCATGATTATTACTTTACACCCGAACGCAACCGAAACTTCCATAACGGCTAGCAACAGTCGCTTCGTGTCTGCCATAGGTGAAGATAAAAAAGAGATAACATTATCACAGACAAATTATTATGCCTTCTCATTCTAAGAAAACGAGCTGCAACGGAATCATTTTTGCGTTGATTCAACTCTCGGCTTCAATCGAGGCTTCAACTTTACACGTTATTGTGAATAGTCTCGCAATATCAAGGGAGCTTGTAAAATCATTATCAAGCATTATATTTTGCTCCAATATCACGCGTTATAGGGGAAATGGCTCTAATGTTGGTCTATGGATCTAACATTGGGCCCATCGCTAAAAATCTGCTATTGATCAATTTTATCTAGATGAACGCGTCATTGGGACGGTAAAATGGATATTTTTGGTTGCTATTGAAAATATAGTCGATTGTTGAATTTATGTATGGGCCCAAATTAGGGACACATACATTTCCCCTATTGAGAGCGCATGAGAGCGGAAACATATTAATTTGCTAATGATCATGCCATCACTGATTATTACAGATTTTATCGTATAGAGCAGCTCAACGTTCTGCAATTTGCATGAACCTTTGTATAATACGGCCAGTTTGGAACGGATTTTTTTTTTTTAAACGGCGTTCGATATTTTCAATAAATCGTAGCACAAAAATATTATTTCTAATCGAAATGCCGCCTGTGACAAAGTTGTAACAATCAATTATGCAAAGTTAAAAAGTAAGGCAATAATTAATTTTTGTTTGGCTCTGGGAATTCATTGATAACTCTATTGATTCTGGGAACTCGTTGCAAATACCGGGAAACCACTTCGGGACTTCCAATTTTTTTTAAGAATTCCGAGATTTTTCAGTTTTTTTTTTTTTAGTTTTGAAAATTTATTAGAAAATCTAGCAATTCTCGAAATTCTTAGGTTAACCTGCAAAAATTCTTTGAATTTGTCAAAGGATCTGTTTTTTGAGATCATTTCACGAATTCAAGGAAATACCCAGTAGTTTATTTTGGAATTTCCCAGGAGTCCTGAGAATTTATCACTGAAATTCTAGAAATTTTTCTTTAATTAACTTTTTTGCAAATCATAACTTTTACAGCTACTAAGGTTGTGTTCCATTTGGTGAATTTTCACTTAATTTTTTTGCTTCGAAAATAAATTATAATGTTGTAAAATCCATGTGTTGTTGATCGTCCGATTTTCGAGAAGGTGTTTGTAAAAATTGATTCCTGGTCTGTCAGAAATAAGTCTGGTACAATAGTAGGTTTAAGTGAAAATTAACCAAATGGAACACAGCCTAAGACAATGGGCATTTATGCACAAGAAACGAAACTCATACAAGCAAGCGGATTAACAAATCAGGATAAATTTCACTGAAATTGAATACGAAGCAAAACACACAATTATTCCGCAAATGAACATGGAAACAAAATTCCAAAACCGAGATCAAGCTCTTTTACTTACTTCATCACCGTTTCCATACGAACGCTTGAAAGTAGACTATTGGTTAGAAATAGTGCGCAATTTCACAGAGTTAGTAGTAGCACAGTTGTCGAGAGAGAGTCAAGAACGAAAGAGATTTCAGAGCAAAGAAAAGAACATTGCAGAGTGCGCAAAATGTCAATGGTGTACCATCAGCAAGATCACGAAACTTACCTCGTAGTACCGATGCACGGCCGACAGATCCAGATTCTTGTCCGCCCAGTCCCGACTGACCTCGATCTGTTCGCGATCGTTCAGCCAGCTCAGCTCGGACGTCGCCGCCGACAGGAAATCCGCCAGGGCGTCCAGGTCCGACAGGCGCTTGGTCGAGGTACTGAGCAGCTCGGCGTAGATCTTCTGCAGCTGGCTAAGCTTCTGCTGGTACAGCTGCAGCTCGTCCCCGGTGAAATTGGTCTGGTGCCGTTCGCTCTGAATGATCTTCGAGTGGAACTGATCGATCACTTTGTGCTCGTGCTGGTGGCGTTCCAGTTCCACCTTGGCCGACGGCAGGTCCGAACCGAAATCCGAGGTGAGTAGTTGTTTCTAGGGAAGGAAATGGAATTTGATATGTTATCAAAGCGACTTAGGAAGAGTAGGTAGAGGGGAACACTCACCAGTTTGGTTTGACACCACTCGGTGTATTCCTGGACGTCTCGGAAGTACGGATTCGTCCCGATTTGGCGTGTTTCGGTCACGACACGCGTCTGCTTCGTGATCGTCGTCTCCTGAACTGGGTAGCTCAGACCGGATAGTTTTTGTACTAAACTAGTGTGGAATGTAGTTCGAAGCTGGGACCACCGTTGGTGCAGTTTTGTGACTCTGTAAAAAATAGCACGTGGTTAGATTTCAAGATTCGAGCGGTAGAAATTACATTAACTTACTTTTTGTGCAGATCTCCAGCCTGTGGATACCGGCCGTCCTTCAGGTTATGGCAGTCGTCGTTCATTTCCTGGAGCGGTTGCTCCAGGTGCCGGATTTCGCTCTCCAGTCCTTCGACAATGTTCTTCGCTTCGACTGGATGTAACCGTTCGATTCGTCGGCTTTCTTCTGTGATTCGAGTTTCGATCTTGGTAATTACGGTTTCGGTGTGCTTGTACTCGCGTTGTACTTTGTCAGCCAGCTTCTGTAGCCGTTCGAGCCGCTGCACTTCCTGCTGAAGAATCATGTCCCGATCCGCCAGAGCGGACATGAGTCTGTGCCAGGCCTTCTCCAGCGATTCGGGTCGCAGCTCGGTCTCCACATCCACCTCGCCGATGGATTCGAAATACTTTTCCAGTTCTTTGTAGATGGTAAACAGTCGTTGTTTGTCGCGTTGTCGCGGTGGCACTTCTTCGCTTCGGAATCGATTCAAATCTGATAGCAATCGTTTGAGCTCGATCAACGTCGTTGGGAAAGCTCGTTCCTGCAGGAGAGAGGTCTTCTCCCGGCACCAGTACAGTAGCTGTTGTGCTAGTTCCCTGTATTCCTGTACCCTTCGCTGGGATTCCATGTCGAATAGCGGATGGATTTGTGGTGGTTCCGGGAAGACATCGTACAGCGAACTTAGGTAGGTGATCATCGATTTCTCATCTGGTTCGTTGGTATCAACGTCTGTGGAGCACAAGATAAAACAATACCAGTCGATAAATTATCATGGGACGTGCAAATTAAATTTATGCGGAATACAACAATAGAGTCATCTTCACGTCATGCCCACGTAGCTTCCTCAAGTGGCGTAACGGCTATTAAAATAGCTCCTTTGTATTGCTTTTTGCACCCTTATTTGACTTTGGTGATCGTCACATTCTGGGCGGATCCCCGACGGGAGCTACCGCAAATAAACTGAACATTCATCAACACCTCTTGCCCACAAAAGGGAGGACGGCACGCGGTCACGGTTCTATACCCGGGCAAAAATGCATTTTTATTTTATTTTTTGTTTGTTTGAAATGGATGAACAATTCAATTCTCCTAAGAAAATGAATACCCCGTTAGTTAAAAAAATAAGCCGACGATCTTAAAGGGGGACAACTGTTGAGATCTCTAAATATCTTCTGAAATTCCCATGGAATGATTCCATTTAAATTGCACTCCGAATTCTCTAAGAGCAGTCTCACATATTCCTTGAAATGTTCCACATAATTACCCTAGATACTTTTTTTTAGTTCTCTTAAAATGATAACAAGACAACTCTTAAATCTTTCCTAAGAATTCCTTTGAAATTTTTATCCAAATTTTGTTGGACATTTATGTGAAACTTTCATTAGAATCCCTTTGGAATACTTCTTAGAATGTCTTAGGAACTATCCTCAAAATTTGAGTTTAATTCTTTTCAGAATTCTCATTCTTCTCTTGGAATCCTACTCCCAAGTCTCTAGGAGTTCTCCTGACTAATTTCTTAGCGTAAGAACCAGTGTTGGCATTTGTATTTTTTTTTGAAACCAACATTTCAAGCGAACGACGGAGATAGAGAATAGGAAAAATGTCGCAGCCCATTCTTTTTCAAACAGTTTATTGTAATTAACATTTGGTTGTGAGCATAATTTTAACATTCACAGGAGATCTTTACAGGATTTCTCCATTATTTTCTGAAGAATTTGCTTGAATCATCTCAGAATACCCTCAAAGTTCATCTTAGACGTCTTTCTGATGTTTTCTTATAATTTACTCCATAATACTCTTGAAAATCATCTGCAGAACACTCTTTGAATTCAATCTGCAATGGTCTTCAAATTACTCATAATTTATGCATTATTACCTAGGAATTTACGGAGATTTCTCCGGGAAAATTCACTTGGAGTTCTCCTCAGTATTCATTTTGTATTCACCAGAAATGCCTATGGAATTTTTCTAGTAATCCCTTTCTAGTTTTGCTCTGGACTCCCATAAACTCTTTAAAATGCTCCTCTCAATTACCTTGTAAATCACCTTTGAATTTTCTAAAAATGATCACCGCAACATGATTGCAATTCCCTTGAAATGTGCCTTGAAATTTCGTTGGAATCATCCTCGGAATTAAATTCCCACGGAACTTTCCACGCAATTAACTTGAAATACTCCCATGTAAAAATCGTTTGGAATTATTCTCAGAATTTTCAATTAATGCATTTCAGAATCTTCTTCTTCTTATTACTAGCATTACAAGCTTATTGCGTATAACATATTAGCTTATTGCATGCTCTCAACTTAGTGTTCTAGATACAGTTCCACAGTTATTAATTGAGAGCTTTCGATGCCTGTACCATTTTTGCTTTAGTATAATTGTGTGACAAGAACAATCATACTCTATGCCCAGGGAAGTCGAGAAATTTTCCTACGCGGAAAATTCTTAGACCGGACCGAGAAACGAACCCAGACATGGTCTTGCTTTATAGCTGTGCCTTTACCGACTGAGCTAGGGGAGGTCATTTCAGAATGCCCTATGAATTTAAATCCTTCCCTTGGAATTCAACTCACTTTAAAAGTTTCCTAATAATTCGCTTGCCACTGCATTTCAAAGATTTCTCATTAAAAATTAGAGCTCTCCTGGAATTCTTCTCCGAGTTCCTTTGAAGTTTTCCTGGAATTATTTTCATACTCGATTGTAATCCTCCTTTTAGCAAACTCCCGAAGTATTCTCCGAAAATTATCATGGAATTATGCTCTGGATTCTTTTTCTCCCTGAAACTTCAGGAAATTATCCTCAGAATTCCTTTGAAATTCTTCTTTGAATTTCTTTGGAGTCCACTTTAGAACTCATTAGGAATTAACTTCAGAAATTCGTATAATTTTTCGTTAAAGTTTTTTTTTTCGAATCCTAGCCGGGGTTAATAGGAATTCTATTCATAAACACCTTGGTATTTAGGTTTCATATATAATCTGGAGTTCCTCAAGACTTCCTTGAAAGAAGATTGCCGTTTTAATCACAGTTCTTCTCGGAACTCACTTGGAATCAATTCTTTGGAAATAATCATCCAATTTCATAAGCCTTGAAAATTATGGAAGGACCTTAATCTTGATGTTTTCCAAATCTGTGAACTTGATAAATTCCAAGGAAATAGGTTCTTGAACTTTTCTCCAAGTTTAATTATCCAGAATTTAAAAAAAAAATCTTCAAATTTAAAATTTGTGAAAAATATCCATACTTCGGAACCTGAAAAAAACAACACAAGCTTCTGAGTTTTCAAAATTTATTTTATTACTGAAGTTAAATCTGAAGTGAAGAGAGAAAGAAAATAACGATGAAAATTAAATGTTTACATACACTCAAAAAATAAATCACATTTCCAGTGGAAAATATCCATTAGAATTTCACATAACTTTAATGTGATCTCATAATTGGGAATAGCACTACAAAATTACATGAACCTCATGTGTCCAATGAAATTTATGTGATTTATCACATAGAATTCATGTGATCATATGAATGTTATGTGAATTTCAGATAAAAATCATTTATTTTGTTATTGGTAAAATATCATGTGCGTTCCTAATGGAAACTATATGAAAACTTTTTTCGGTGTAATAAAATGTATTACATTCTTTAAAAAAATCCTCAATAATAACGATGAAATTCCCAAAGAATTCCCGGTTTATCCAGGAAAAAATAAATTCTCTTAAGATTCCCGGTTTTCCAGGTTTTTGCAAGTTGATAGACACGCTGAATTTCCATAGTAGTTGTTTCTTCTTCTTCTTCCTGGCATGAGACGGAATAGTTGTTGGCGATTGAAATCCAATATGTAATAGCCTTATTTATCCTTCTATTTGCTGATTATTCTCTTTTTCACACCAGCAAATTTTCTTCGCATGTGTAAAGAAATAATTTCTGGAATTTGGCCTAATAACTGTTCGGCCTAACGACGCATTCAATATAAAGGGTGATACGGTCAAAATTTGGTCAAGGGAAAACGCGTGTAAATCGGTGAAATCGTTTATTTAAAAAATCAAATTAAATTTCTTTTTCAAGTTCAATTAGTATAAAATTCAGGAAAAATATTCAGTTAGGCTTCCGCTTTTCCAAATCCGAATTGCCGGGCCTTACGCTTGACCCCTGCCATCAGATTTTGTACAGCCACCTTGTCCACCTTCTTCGCCGCAGAAAGCCAGTTTGCCTTGAACTGCTGCTCGCCCTTAGCAGTTTTTTTGGTCTTCTTTAGGTTCCGCTTGACAATAGCCCAGTATTTCTCAATTGGGCGGAGCTCTGGCGTGTTGGGAGGGTTCTTGTCCTTGGGAACCACCTGCACGTTGTTGGCAGCGTACCACTCCATGGCCTTTTTACCGTAATGGCAAGATGCCAAATCCGGCCAAAACAGTACGGAACAACCGTGTTTCTTCAGGAAAGGCAGCAGACGTTTATTCAAACACTCTTTCACGTAAATTTCTTGGTTGACAGTCCCGGAAGCTATGAAAATGCTGCTTTTCAAGCCACAGGTACAGATTGCTTGCCAAACCAGATATTTCTTTGCGAACTTTGACAGTTTCATGTGCTTGAAAACATCTGCTACCTTTCCCCTTCCTTTTGCCGTATAAAACTCCTGTCCCGGAAGCTGCTTGTAGTCGGCTTTGACGTAGGTTTCGTCGTCCATTACCACGCAGTCAAACTTCGTCAGCATCGTCGTGTACAGCCTCCGGGATCGCGCTTTGGCCGTCGTATTTTGTTTATCATCGCGATTTGGAGTCACTACCTTCTTGTAAGTCGATAGTCCGGCTCGTTTTTTGGCTCGATGCACGGTTGTAGACGATACACCCAGCTTATTTGCGGCATCTCGGAGAGAGAGGTTAGGGTTTCGCTTGAAACTACCGGCAACTCTCTTTGTCGTCTCAGCGGCTTCCGGTTTTCGATTTCCCCCCGATCCAGACTTCCTGGCTGTCGACAAACGTTCCCCAAACACTTTAATTACATTTGTAACGGTTGATTTGGCAACTTTTAGCGATTTTGCCAACTTTGCGTGCGAGTAGCTCGGATTTTCGCGATGCGCGAGCAAAATTTTGATACGCTGCTCTTCTCGCTTGGACGGCATTTTGACAACTGAAGAGTGAATTCCAAAATCAAAATAGGAGCAACATTCTACACACACACACCTTCAAAATGAGGGGTGTTCAGGTTTTTTAAATGCAAAATTGAAAGAAATACGTCAAGTTGATATTGACCAAATTTTGACCGTATCACCCTTTAGCCTGTTTGATATTTCTCATGATTGGTCCTGATATACATTAAAGGTACGGATCATTTCCCAAAACACCAGGAACATGTTCTGATGTGGTCGATGGGCGCTGGGTACTCAATATGATCACCAATTATCAAGTTTTCAACTTCCATTTTATTTTAACATCAACTTCACAGAATTCAGAAGCTCGACCTTTGACATATCGAGTTATAGAATCAAAATACAATTACATAGCTCATCGACCAAAGGAGGCATCGACTTGTAGAAATATCGACTTATGGAGAGTACGATACATGGAATAATGAAGCGCCCGCAGAATCTATCGAGTTATAGAAATGATCGAGTTTATAGAACATCGAGTTGTGAAAAGTTGACTGTATAATGAAAAATCTTAGAAGTTCAGGGAACTTCGTTGAAGGTTATGGCACTAACTTCGCGGAGGTTCCCACAAGTTCAAGAAACTTCAGAGGGCTTCAGATAAGCTCAATGGATAGGCATGCTTGGCATACACAGTTTTGGTCACGAACTGCTCATTTGTTAATAACTTTACACACAGTTAACGAAACATAACTCTTTTTGAAGCAGTAGATTGAATAGATTTTAAGCTTGTTATAGGTACGTACAAAAATGCAGATTTTAATTCTAGTAATAAACTGTAGTTTTTTTACGTTGTAAAAATGAAGTGAGAAATGCTCGCTGCGCATCTCGGACTTTAAGTGTAAAAATTCATTGGCGTTGATTTAAATTTTAAGATTTATCTACTCTTTGCATATCTATAGTAAGCTATGATCCTAATTTATCAATTACTTTAAAGAAAAACAAATTTCAACAACTGAGTGAAAAGTTATTAACAAATGAGCAGTTGGTGTGTACAACTGTGCATGCCAAGCATGTGGATAGGAAAGGAGTTAAGTTTGAGCAAGTAGAAGTTCAGGAAATAACTCAAAATTTTAAAGAATGTTGTAGATATTCACGGTCTCTCTATATATATCAATTGAAGGCTCTAGGTTGATCAAGTGTAATTTTGAAGATTTTCAACGGTTAAAACATTCAAATGTCGTCTCGCAGATATTCTTCCTAGACAACAGGTTGATCAGGCAGTATTTAAAAGTTTTCAATAAAGTTTCCAAAGTTCAAAACTTCATGTTTTGTTCTGAAGATCTTCGACTGTTCGCAAAATTAAAATAATATTCTCCCTGCTCAGATATTATCGTGGGAATTATTTGAAAGATCACCAGCTGATCAAAAGTTTCAATTAAGACCTATGGTTCATTTTTTAAGACTTCAGGTTGATCCAAATGAAGATCTGAAGATCTTCAACTTCAGATATTCAAATTCAAAGGGCATCTCTCAGATATTTTCGCTGATCAGGAAATATTCCATGGATCTCCAGCTAATGGAAGATATCAGTAAGGTCTGGTAATATTATTATAAAAAAACAAAACTGTTGTGGATTAAATTATTTATCATCAACATTTTACCTTAGCTCAGTCGGTAAAGGTGCAGTTACAAAGTAAGACCGTGTTGGAGGTGGCTAGGTTCGATTCCCGGTCCGGTCTAGGAATTTTTCGGGTTGTTAAATTTCTCGACTTCCCTGGGCAGATTGTACTTGCCACAAAATTATACTAATGCAAAAATGTTACAGGCATCGAAAGCTTTCAATTAACAACTGTGGATGTGCAACTTCGGAAGTCTTCAAAAAGCGTTTGGAAATGTCTTAAACCATCTTCTCAAAACATTAAACTTTTTTTTTAAATGTCTGCTGGAGAAAAATGTATTCACAGAATAAGTCATCCAAATGAAGTGTAGCGTCCTTGGATATAATAGATCATTGCACGTTGTAAACAACAACACAATTTAAACAGTTTATATCAGGGGGATCGTCACGTCTGAGGATGCATTTGAATTCAATAAAGATGTTGACAAAACAAAAAAAATAAAAAATAAGCTAAATATAAAATAAAATATAATGAAAATTAAATAAATTACCATCCACAATGTGAGGTATAAAGATGAAGCAAAGTTTAAGCAACCTGGACATTGAATTTATAAGAAAAAAAAATATATGAAACCAATTATAAAAAAACGGAAGTTCAAACTCGAAATGATTTGGCAAAAAATGCTAGAAATTCCTCGTTTCGAACCAACACACATTTCATTGATAGTTCTACTGGAAACAATTTGGAGATAAGTTGCCAACATAGGTGGCTTGAGAATGGAAAGGTGAATACATTTAGAAGCCGCGATAGAAAAAAAAATCTTTTTTTTTTGTTCAAAACCGTTAAAAAAAAAAGTGGCAAAGGGCAGGTTGTGGTTAGTAGGACGGAAATTAGATCAAAACCCTAGCAGCAAGTTTCTTAAAAAGGTTGCATATTTTTAAGAAATGAATTTCTAACAAAAGTAGTCGCAAATGATCAAAGCGAAAACATTTTAATTTCAGTTGACGTTTCCGGGAAATGCGAATGTCCCGAATATTAATTCTCAAGACACTGATTCTCTTTAAGGTGTTTCGCTGTGAAATCCTTATTCACGCTACCACTTCGAAACTTTGAGTGCACAAATATCAGCTTCCACAACACGTACCATTATGAAACTTTTACTCCACTCCACGTATGCGCTGCAGCATACATGCGGTAGCAATTTCAGGTGAAATGTGGCATTCATTTCCGAGATTTGTGTAATTTAAAATTTGAGGTGGAAGTGCATTTATGGCCATTTGCGGACCATCACAAACAGCGTTTTCTTCACTCCCTTAATTTACTTGGATCAAAATCCCTTTTGTACAAACTCAGAAGGTCAACAAATTCTAAATATGAAGACATCATGACTTCAAAAAGATGCTAATCGAGTTACGTAAGTTTCAAAATTTAAAATGTATATTAGCAACTCCATTAAACTCAAACTTGCACCGAACGCAGGTGACTCCAAACCATTGGTACCGCGCAAAGGCAATCAAATAACGTAATACTCACCCTCTGGATCAAGTAACCGCGTGACGCCGTACTCCCGCTCCACCACGTGGAAGGCTTGCTCCAGTCGTTCCCGTGGTCGGCGCGATCTCGAATCTCGCCAGTCGATGAGATCGGGCCGATTCCGGTGGATGAGCGCCGAGAAGGCCAACCCATCTCGCCAGGAGCCGGTGAAGTCGTTTACCCGGACGCCGGGGTATTTGGCTGTGGAACGGCGGGCCCACCGGAGCAGGGCTTCCCGTGCCGTTAGATTGTCCTCCTGACCGACGACGATGTCGGAAATCTGTGAACAGAGAGAAACGGTGAAATTGTTAATCAATCTGGCTGAATATGGTTGATTGCGCGGAATGTCGACAAACGGATGGGTGTGGATCAAGAGGCTACCAAGAGAGAAATAATATTTATCAACAAACAAGTGCTTGAAACGAATGAACAGTCAATGATGACAAAATAATTGAAACGCATTTACCAACAAGTAACTAACAAGAGCAATGGGCACAATGCAGAAATGCAAATTAAATTGCGTGGGAGCGAGCGTTCGCAGCGCAGAGATCTAGATCGAGCGTGGATGGCTAACTCCCTCTGGCTGGGAGCACGCAGAACGGAGGCTTCATCGAGGTCAGACGCTGTTGTAAAAATGATCAATGAAATGACCGTTTCTCGACCAACGCACGCGATTTGATTAAATCGTCGATGAGTAGGTGTGCTTCGCGGTCGCTGCTGGATGCCAATCATCAATAGTTCACAATGAGCGTATTGCAGTGCGTCACCATATCGGGTTACAACAACAGCAACTGTTTGCTAATAGTTGGCAGATCGGTGGTCGCGTCGTGGTCGAACGGAAACCACGACCGGTAATAAATATCCATCAATCGACGACGAATGGCGACAGCAACAACTGCACCCGCGCCCTCATATAGATTTCTGCTCGGAACGATCATTCTCTCTGCTCCTTCTTGAGACGCTTGATGTATGCCTCTGTTACTGCAGAGCACGCGGGGGCTACCGTATTCGTAGCTCCATTCGCAACGCCAATTAAATTATCTCCTTATACAAGAGTGTGGTTTGTTGGCTTTTTAATATTTATCCATTCAATTCCGAGTGCGGGCCCATCAATGGGGATTGCACCCAACAAACGAGGATGATAATGAGAATGATAATGATGATGATGGTGTTGTGATTTGCACGATTCTTCCCATAGTGATGATGCGCGAAAATGTATGTGGCAATTTAAGCGAGATCTATGCTGGATGACCTTGACCCAAGGGACGGTAACCGATAGGCAACGGCAGACGGCTGGACCATGAGCGACACAGGTGCACGAATCAACAGGCTACAAACCAGATTAGTCAACATAGCAAAATCTAAATTTTCAATTCCAACATGAGCGAAGCTTGGTGCGTTTCAACAGAAAACAATCGAAAGCTCCTGGTATTCATCAAACGATGCCTGCAGTACATCATTCGAGCCTAGTGGTCTCACAACTCCATCTCGAATGCTGAGCTCCATCTTGTATGTTATAAGAAGCGGATATAAACAGGGGGCCTCATAGCCTAGTCAGTAAAGGCACGGTATTACCAAGCCGGAGGCGGCGGGTTCGATTCCCAGTCCGGTCGAGGGAATCTTTCGGGTTGGAAATTTTCTCGGGCGCCTAGAGTATCATTGTGCTTGCCACACACTATACAACTTCATGCATTGGTATGATTGGCATCGAAAGCTCTCAATTAATAACTGTGGAAGTGCATTTAGAACACTAAGTTGAGAGCACGCAATAAGCTAATATGCGCTAAGCAATAAGCTTGAAATGGGAACGAGAAGAAGAAAGATAAACAGAAATTCGTAAACGCAAATATGAAAATTGATAAACAACACACGACAAATGGTACAAACGAATATGCTTGTATTGGATTATTTTTTTCTTTTTTTTTATTATTATAGTCATTTTAACGCTCTTGGTCATTCGTGACTTGTCCGGGGTAAGATTTGAACTCGTGACTTTGACGTGAGAGGTATGGATGCTAACCACTACGCCGGGGTCGCCCCAGTGTATTGGATTATAATATGGAACGACATTATAACAGAGGCAGACCCAGGGGTCATGGCAGCGGAGCTTCATCAAAGAAATCAAGACAAAGAAGATTTTCGTGTGATTTTTTCAAAGCGTCATGAGGTTGACAGAACCTTCACAAATTGCAATAAAACTTGGTGGGTGTAAAGTATTAATTTAGTAACGCAACTCTTGCTATGTTTCCTAAAAACATGAGACTTACATTTGGAAAGGTTTGTTTTTTTTTAACGTAGACGTAACGTTACCAATCAATAGGAAATAACTCTACGAATCTGCTGAAATAAATACTTTTCCAATTTTCCATAAAAACGTTTTGAAAAATATACAAATAAAGTGATAAGTTTGTCACTTGTTCTCATGAAATAAACGTTTTCCCTAACCAAGACATCATAATCGAGTACCACTTGGTTGGGCATAGTTCTGCTTGAACCTGTACTGTTATAAAAGAGCGCTACTGTCGCGCCTCCGTTCATTTTTCCATCGGACTATGATGCTTACTATGAATAAATGTAGCTGGTGGAGAACCTGTATCTGAGCCTAGCTCCGGTAGAACCATATCAAAAGTTTATCCCGATCGGATATCTGCTTTTCGAGATATGACCGAAAAAGCGACATTTTGTAAGCAAAACACTGCTACTCACTTACTTTTCTCGACGATGGCTAAACCGATTCAAACGTTACAGGTTCTTTTTATGTGTATTTATCTCTTCAAGAATTATTGAATTTCATTCTGATCGGACGGGTGGTTCCGGAAAAAAAGACTGTATTGAAAAAACTTGACACATTCCCCCCTATTCTGCGAGTCACGTGACTCTCTCTCACCGGTGAGGTGACAATAGTCACCTCGTGTGAGGTGACTCTCCATTTGATTTACATGGAGAGTCACCTCACACGAGGTGATAATTGTCACCTCACCGGTGACAGAGAGTCACGTGACTCGCAGAATAAGGGGGATTGATTAGTTTGTAACTTTTTAGCGTGTGGGTAAACAATGATGAAATTTTGACTAAAACTAGCTAAGAGTGCAATGTTTACGCTGGCAGAATTTCATCAAAATCTGTCATGTGTTTATTGAGATGGCATCGGTGCAAGAGCAGATCCGCCAAAAAATGTTGTGTGCTGTTGTGGAAAATCCGACTGCGTCCCGCAGATGGATCGAGAAACACCTGGGAATCAATCCATCATTCGACGATTTCCCGGGTCGTGAAGTCATTCAAGGAGAACCAAATGACCTAGCGGCGAACAGCCTGCGGCAGAAAACCGAAGACAGCTGATATTTCGATCCGCGATGCTGACGAAACTGAGATGCGTCGTGATGGACGACGAGACTAACATCAGGCGGACACAAAGCAGTAGCCGGGGCAGAAGTTTTACGTTGCCACAACACTGTTGGCCGTTCCTGAGGAGGTAAGGAAGAAGAAGGTGAACAAATTCGTCAAAAAGTTCTTGGTTTGGCAGGCCATCTGTGGTTGCGGCATGATGAGATATTGCTCGATTGAGAAGTTTTGGGTCATCATAAAGGCCAGACTGGCTTTGAAGAAACAGTGGATAAAAGTATCAAAAGAAGTCCAAAACCTTATGAGTGGTGTCAAGGACAAGGTGCGGGCATTTGGTTATGGAGGATCTCCAATAAAGCAATAAAGTAGAAACCTAACCATGATGTTGCAGTTTATTCCCTAAATGTTTGAAGAAAATCCGACCTAAAATGAATTTTTGACGAACATTTTTTGTGTGTCGACTGTTTTTCGAGTACAGTCGTTGTGAATAATTTGGATTTTCGCAATAAATCAGCAATACTCCCTCCTTTTTCATTGAACGCAACTGCCAATTTTGGTTGTATCAGTTTTTTTTCAAAAACCCTATTGAACTTCTGGAGATATGAGCGGAAAAAGCTTTGTGTCTCAGAAAAATTCTTATGATCCCGGAGCATGCGTTTAAGTAAAATATCATGACCATTACAAATTTCCAATATTTCGATATTATTAGAAAATTTAGTAATTTTTTACCAAACTTCGGTAAAACTTGAATACTCATTTCAAAAGCTGTTTCATTAAATATTAAATTAAACATATTGTCAGCCTTTTTTAAATAATCGACTCCTGCTGTGGTGAAGTTTTACTTGAATTAATTAAAATGCCTCTTACGCCCTAATTTCAACTCTATCTAGACTTATTAAATGTATCTCCGATATAGCCATCACCAATTCAATATTGTCTTCTTATTGCTTATGATGTTTCTGATTCGCATTCTGACTCATTCAAAGCTTCATATTTCTTGAACTAAACTGTTTGAGTTTCACGCATGTTTTGTTCTACATCAATCAAGTATTATCAAAGAAACCCCAAAACAAAAAGCTTATGTTCGGTCACAAGACAAAAAAAATAGTACAGAGGCAATACTTTCGTTCGGCATATTACTAACGAATTGACTCTAGGATCCATAGTATTTGTTTAATTTTAAAATCATTCATTATTGTAAAAAAAATATTTAAAATATACTTCAAACAACTATCAAAGTTACTCCATTTTACGGTAATAATTGTGTGTAGATTTAAAACTCTGGTTTTCCAAATATATAATGCAAGGTTCTTTTTTTAAGATTCCAGAGATTGACAAATTCAGATTTTGAGGCATAGATTGTGTTCCAATAAGAGAACTTTCACTTAAATTGGACAAATGAAAATTTTTCAAATAACCCTGCTATTTCACTAGACTTATTTCTGACAGCCAAGAAATTCATTTTGACAAACACCTATTCGAAAATCGGTCTATCAACAACAGAAGGGTATTTGAACATTTTAATTAATAATCTAATTGTAAATTTTAACTGAAAAATCACCAAATGGAACACAGCCTTATTAAGATTCAAATTTTGATAACATTAGTTGATTTTGCAAATTAGAAAAAAAATCGTTATTCTGAAACATCGTTAAAATGATCTCTGAAATGAAAAAAGTTTTGAATTTGTAAAATATTTGAAAATTTCTAGCAATTCGAAAAGTACTGAAGACTTGGAGAACAACAGAACCTAGACCTATAAAAGCTTACAAAATTTCTGACTTCGAAAATTCCCAAACATACAAATACTTTAAGATTCTGAATATTCGGCCTTGACCAGTGTTGGCAAAATCATCAATCAAAGATAGTTTTCCTCATACGCACTCAATATCACGCGTGATATTGGAACAAACTATCATGATTGATATTGATTTTACA